GGGGGGGGCTGAAGAAGCATGTATCAAGTATGAAAACCTACTGATTAATTCATCATGAGATAGACAAGCATATATCACTTACCTTACCAAGTAAAAACGATAAGAAGACAAAACTAAACACGAAAGAAGTCAGATACATAACAATTGCGAACAATATAGGGTATGCAGAAACAAAGGAACAAAGATACAGTTTTCAGCGCACAGGAAGTGCTGCAAAGATCTTAAGTTGTAATGTTCCAAATTCAAAGTTTCACTTGCAGTATTTTTAGTGCCAGTTCTTTCACAAAAGCATCTAACACCAGCGATTCCCCTCTTCAAAATTCGGATGATATTTCAAAATAAGTTTTGTCAAAAGTTCGAAAAAAGTTTTCCACTAAAATAGTCATGAGAAATGTTAAACTTTCATTGGAAACAAACATTATACATCTATAAGGGTCAACATTGACCTAGTTATGATCATTTCATGTGTCGGCAGTACAGTTTAGGGGTAAGACCAAAACTTTGATAGGATGCCGTTCGAAAATTATCAGAGATGTAAAGTTCCAATTTGCACTGATCGTACACACCCATCCGAAGTTTTAAATTTCATGTTCTTATCGTCACTTTTGGTTTCAGATTTCTTCCCGAAGCAAAATCTATACAGCCTTGTTACACAGTTTGGGGTAAGGCCAAAACTTTGACAGACTACCGTTCCAAAACTATCAGCAATGTAAAGTTGCAATTTACACTGAAGGTACCCACCCATCTGAAGTTGCTATATGTTCTAAATTTCAGGTTCTTACCGTGCAAACTCTTGGTTTCAGATTTTTTTCCAAAACTGACTGAAATCGACAGAGGACACGTTAAGCTTTCACAAATTATACCTCTATAGGGCCACAATTGGCCTAGTTATGACCATTTCAAGCTGGGGTAGGGGGTAGGCAACCAGTCTTTACAGTCTGACTGCACAGTTTGGGGTGAGACTAAAACTTTGACAGGCGGCCGTTCCAAAACTATCAGCGATGTAAAGTTGCAAGTTACACTGAAGGTACATACCCATCTTTAGTTGCTATGTTCCAAATTTTAGGTTCTTACCGTGCAAACTCTGCCCGCTACGGCACTTATATTTCAGATTTTTTCTCAAAGCAAAATCTATGCGATTTTCCTCTTGAACATAAGGGTGGAACTTCAAAGCCGATTTTCTCGAAAGTTTGAAAAAATTCCTAATTTCTGTTTTTGACTGAAATGGGCAGGGGACATGTTAAGCTTTCATTAGAAACAAAAATTAAACCTGTAGGGCCAAAATTGGCCGAGTTATGACCATTTCAAGCTGGGGGTAGGTGGTCGGAAGCCAGTCTTACAGTGCTATACAGTCTCACTTCACAGTTTGGGGGTGCAGACCAAAACTTTGACAGGCTGCCGTTTGAAAACTATCAGAGATGTAACGTTGCAATTTTCACTGAAGGTATCCGCCTATCTGAAGCTGCTATTTTCTAAATTTCATGTTCTTACTGTGCAAACTCTGCCCGCTACGACTCTTTCGGTTTCAGATTATTTCCCAAAGCAAAATCTATGCGATTTTCCTCTTGAAGATAAGGATGGAACTTCAAAGTCGATTATCTAGTAAGTTTGAATAAATTCCGAATTTCTGCTTTTGACTGAAATGGACAGGAGACGTGTTCAGCTTTCATTATAAACAAAAATTATATATCTAGGGTCAAAATTGGCCGAGTTATCATGTCAAGTTGGGGTAGTTGGAGAAACTCTATGTCGTTTTTTAGAGACTGGCAATACTGCAGAATAACTCGTAAACAATTGGGTGTTATTAGGTAATTGCACTATGTGCCTTTTAAGATTTGCCAATTTTGTTCTAGGCCTGATAAATTTTGTATAGAAGAAATAAGTCGAGCATAAGAGGACGAGAAAGCCGATAAGGGATCAGAAGGAAGTAATACAGCCAATGGGCTTTCATGGTGAAATTAATATCTCTGAATTAATTGAATCAATGATCTTATAGTTGATTATTCAGATTTAGTGATGAAGACTCTTGTCGTGGATGGTGAATTTGGGAATTTTTGGAAGGTTAATTAAACAAATATTGGGAAATATCAATCAATTTATCATTAGACTGCCAAATCTGGTATCGACTTTTCTCTTGTAAATAATGAGGTATAGAAAATGCAGGAATGTGTCCACAGCAACCAACAGGCATGTTTATAATATTGACACCCTGAGTAATAGTCGAAAAAAATCTGCCTCTATTCCAGCCTCTGATGGATATTTTGACAGTTGTCAGCTGGAGTAAGAGGAAAAAGACCCTGTTAAATGGGGATTTTCCACACCTCCAAAATTGCGTTTTCTCTGTGCCAGTGCCTTATATTGAATAGTAACTTGTTCCAACTTTTGATGGAACCGAAGACATGACATAAATGATGAAGGGAGAAAATGATGAACTACAAAAATATTAATCTTTCCAAATATACCTGGGTTTTGTTGATCATAGGAATCTAAATAAGTTTCGGAGATGCGGAATGTACCCATTTAACAGGGCTTATTATTTCTGTCTCTACACCAGCTGACCAAATAGCTTATCAGAGGCTGGAATAGAGACAGATGTTTCGTTCTCCCTGAGTAATAGCTATATTATTCAATAAGTTTTTAGAGGAAAAACAAACAAGAGTCAATGATGTTTGAATGGGACTAAAGAGTAGCCATTTTCGTTTGGTTAAGGATTTTAGTATGTGAAAAGTTGGAATTTGGTGGTATAATATGACTATAGGACTACAGGTGTTGCGGACTAACTTTGCAATGTGCAAAAAGAGGACTTATCAGGTTTATCAAAAGTGCAAAAAGACAAATCGGATTGTTTACAAAAGCTGACCTCATGATCATGGAGACGTTTCGATCTGGGAAAAAATAAAATTGGAATGATACGTTCATGAAGTATTGTGATTTATGCGTGACGGAACGTGGACGATTTTATACAATTCGATGATGGATGATGTTTTAACACAGGAGTGAGTATTAAAAAAAATATTAAAAGGATGTACGCCATACATAAAAGTGAGTTGTGAAAGGGATAAATAGTTTCGCAAATTATACTTGATAAAGGAGGAATTTCCAAGACCAAAAACAGTTGAACATTCCATATTAAATGACACTGAAGGGCGTCTATAATTTGACTATGTAAATCTAAAACGGACTGATGAATATCATGAAACGTGCAATGAAGAATATGAAACACGCCCGATAGCTGGTGTGTTAATTCAACAATTGTTCATATTCTGGGTTCAAATAATGCTTTAGGTTGTTAGTTAAAGCTTGAAACTGACGAATTTTGCAATTTTTTGGGTCGAGTAACGATGGGTGTAAAATTCCGAATTTCCGAACTGTCCGAATTGGGTCAGAAAAGACAAAAATATCGAGTATGTATGAATGAAGGTTGAATATTTCATACTGGTAATTGTTACTGTACTGCTAAATATTTTTATTGAAAATCAATGCTGCCAGTGGGCGTATATTACCTTGCATGGCAAGCTATCTTTAATAAATATAATCGCTAATATTCAATGGGCACTTTTTGTTGTTTTGTGATCGAAGGCTTCTTCCCATTATCTTCCTTGAATAGCAACCATGACATACATGTCAAGGTGATAACTCAGTAAAATGAAATGAATGGAGTTTTACGTCCTACTTTTCTGCACCATGTGGCCTAATGAAGACAGGCAACGCCATGCAGGGTGCAATAAGGGAAATTTTGCCAGGACAGCGGCATTAGCCGGATCTTTTTCAATTTCCAACTGATCGTTAACTTTCACAGTCTGTAGCACACGGGAAATTTATTGTCCCATCCGAACGACTAGACGCTTTATCCATGTCAGCCCCTCTTACCTGCATCACTGACAGTGGGAAACCGGGTTGAAAAGACCGAATGTATCATCTCGACCTATGCCGGGCGAAATGTTAGCCTGTTCCCATCATTCACATTGGCATCAAACTTTGTGACTTCAGTCACTTTGCTTTTCACATATTACAGTCAAGTAACCTAATTTCGTGGAAACCTATTATTCGTGGATTTCCGGAAAGGATTAATAATTTACATGAGCGACCTTGCGCGACCTCAGCATTAGTTTGTTTTGATAAACATGGGTTTTCTCTACAATATCAGCTAGTAGAATGAATCCAGTAATTTCAAGCAAGGTAAAATGTATTAATGTATACTTTGACAAATACAAAATGGCGGATTTCACTTATTACCAAACATCACCATTTTTTATCGGCCGAATTTCCTTATAATCCCAAGCGGTAATCGGAATTCCAAGTGTCGTCTGCTAGAATGTAGTCCAACGAATGAAGTCACGTGATCAACTAGCGGATTCCGTGTCAGCAGAAAATTCCTATGGAACACAAAGTGGACCATATTCTTATGTTGTTACCGTGACTTTTAGCAATAAATCACGCTACGTATCTTATTTTGTCAGTCACAATTTTTTTTTTAAATCATGGTTCTTTGAAGGAATTGTCATTAGTTATAATGAATTGATATTAAAGATAAATACTAAGAGAAGTTAATCATACCACCCGGTATCCATACAACTTGTTTTTCTCGACTTATTTATAGATCAAACATTGTACCCGAAAATAGGTGACGCATTCTGCCGCCGTTGCCGAGTTGGTTGCTCATGAAATATGGGTCAAAGTGAAGGATTCATAAAGAAAATCGAAATAAACCAATTTTAATTATTTGGTAGAATATCTGAGGAAACACCTAAGACATAAAAAAAATATTCTGTTTTTTTAACTTCGACGTAATTCGGTGTTGAATCCTTATATCCACGAAAATAGGTTACACCACTGTAAGTATTTTTACTATTATTATAGTGTATTGTTGTCATACATGTAACCTTTACCCGTTAGGCCTATTAGCTCTTTTTTCAGACATATCTCTGTGGATATAGCATAGAGGAGTAGTACTAGTTGTTGAATCGGACAGTGAGTGTGATTCCCTAAAAAAAGCAGGTTTCCACTTAATGCCACGTCTGACGTAGCTGTTATAGTAGTAGAGGTGGATTTCCAATCTTCTCCGAAAGCCCCCTTATCGACCAACACATTTCCTGAATGGGAAGGAGACAAGAGTTGGGAAGATGTTGCCTGGTTGTGAGGAACAGCAAGAACCAAGAGTTCAAACTTTTGGTAGCTATTTAGATTTAAATCTCCCACTGTGTTGTCACCTTAACATGTCATAGTTGCTATTCAAGGGAGATAATGAGAAGACGTCTTCGATCACAGACAACAAAAAGTGTCCATTGAATAATGGCTGAGGATATTTGGCACGGAGTTGTAAATAATTATTTGCCACGGGTTTTTATTATTTGCCACTTGTCTTCATAAATGATGAAATAAAAGATATTTTTACAAATAAGATGGACATCATGATTGTTTTAACACATTTGGATGAATAACGGAGACATAATTTAATCAAATGGAAGCAATTTTGACATCATTAAATTACGAAATAAACAGCATTATTTTGATCGTAAACAATGTAAATAGTAGTCAAATGATTAACAAGTTGGCGGTATTCAAACACACGCATAGTAAAAAAAAGTCCTACCTATAAAATATTGTATCATTAACAAATGAGAATACATTGATAAACGATAATTAGGCCTATTTGCAGTATGAATACCAATAGGCCTATCGGTGAGAATTTAACAAAATTTCTGTCGAAATAAAGGCTAATATGCTTGTTAAAGTAAAATAACCCTTATAAACATTCCGAAACACGGAAAAAGTCGTAAATAAATTAAATGAAATAAAATGCAGTTTTCAGTCGAGAAGGTAAATTGTTGACGGGCAACGACATAAAAAGCGTGCAATGAAGGAAATTTCGCCAGGACAGTGGCATTTTGCCTACTCTTATTATCAATTTTCAACTTTAACGTGCACAGCCGTTAGCAAACAGGACCTCGGTTTATTGTCCCATCCGAACGACTAGACGGCGTAGACGCTTTTCCTTGTCAGGCCTTGAACACCCAGGTAAGTAAGATAAAACAAGTATAGGGGTTGTGAGCTAACTACTATACACAGACCATGGTAAATAAGATAAAACAAGTGGTAGGGGTTAAATATCTACTAACACTTCCAGTTTCAGAGGTAGCTAGCTTTCGAAATGAGTTTCTCGAAACTTATAAACTTAGAAACTCTTTATCGGAGGACAGGTTAGAAATTTTCATGCTAATGTCCGTGGAATCGGATATACTGGACGCTATATCATGCCATGATATTATAGACGAACTATATCCAAACATAGCACTTTGCTAAGTCGGACTCGCACCTACATATATGTTCGATATCGTCAGTCGAGTTCCATTTTTGCCCATCAAATGAGAAAATTTGTGTCTTGCAAGTGTCCGGTCAAGGTACAAAATATCATATTTTGTACGATGGTGTACCTTGACTAGACACCTGCCAGACATATTATAACTATGAGGTGATATCTAGTAAAATCTACAGAGATCAATGAGTGAAACTTCAAAATCGAAATTTAGTCGTTTGTGACTAATCTCTCTATCTTCCAAATGGTAGGCCGACCTACAATAACAATAGATCAGATTTTCTTGATAATTTTCTAAATTTCGGTATGTACTATATAATATGTATGTATAATATTAAAAATCAAAAAATATCAATTCATAGACGGCATTATTATAAACTAGCACGGTGTACACGAAAAATAAAGAAAGGAATACATGATTTGACCAAATGAAAGCATTTAAAAATATTCGTTTTTTGATGAAAAATGTTTTGATCCCCGAATTTGTGCATGACCTTTGGCGCAATTTAAGTTTCGATTTTTTTGTCTTTTCTGACCCAATTCGGACAATTCGGGAATTGGGAATTTTACACCCACTGGTCAGGTACTACCAACCTATCTTTGGATTGCCCGAAAAGTTCTATGGATTGTTGAAAATTGTCCAATTTGCTGGTCAAAATTTTTGAAGGACGAACTGAATGTTGTTTTCCATTTCTACTGGCACTGGTTTCAGAAGCAACAAGAAAATTGGACACCACAAGGACAACTTTTGATCCATATCGATCCTTCAAGTCTTTGGTTTATGATGAATTTCGTAACGGACTTCACTTTGTTGTGTATGTGATGATAACTTTATTTGCAGCCTGAACGTATACCGTCACGACGCCACTGTAGAAAAGTTATAACTTATAATAGTCTGGTTCTATAACTGTAGACCAGTTATTTATCTCTTTGTACACGCTGATTATACTAGGCGCCTGTGCCAATATGGACGGACTGTATACGGTCTACTGCTATTCACTTTCCCAAGACACAATAATTGATGTCCGGTCAAAATATACAACACGTCATTATTTTCATTCAATAACTTTGAGTCTACACTTAATCGAAGCATCTAACCTAGATCATCTTCTTCTCGTTCCAACTTGATTCCTTCCCAAGCCAAAGAATGATTTCCCCAAAGACATTTCATACCCTCTATGTATCCCCCGCGGCAGGTGGTCGCCTTATAAATCCCATATAACTATACCACAGATTTTACTTTTCAAGTACCCGAAGGTGACAAAAGGGCAGTGTCAGATCGAACACTGGGGCTCTTAGAATATTAGATAACATATATTCATATTATAAATCCGAGGGCCTGTGAGGATAGTATTATTTCTAATATTCTTTATTTCTATATATTCTACAAGTGTTATTCTTGTTTTATGTACATTAAGTTTTTGTGTGGGAATATC